TTCAAAAGATAAAGGCAGTGCCAGTCTAATTCCAGTAGCTCGTTTGTTGTCTCTCCAACTTTCCTCCTTTCTATCCTCCTTAGATGCACTGAATCCCTGACTGCTCACTCAGAGGTGAACCAGGAGCCCTGGATGGGGCCAGTGCCTGTCCCTCCCCGTTAGGCCCTGTGTAGACAGGACTGTAAAGACAAGGAGAGTCAGAAGTGGGACTGAGGAGTTTAATCATGATCCATGAGAGGCCTCAGCCCACTGCTCATTTCTTCCACACCATCGTTTCTTGCAAGAAGCCAACCCCCAAGCCTGTGGGATAATCTCATTTCACTGATTAGAAGTTCAAGATAAAGAGAATAGAAGTCCTCTGAGGGGAAAAAAGAAAAACCAGACTGTGACTTTTTTTTTTTTTTGGTAAATTTATAGCCCAAAGATTTCATTTGGGCTGAGTTTGGAAATGTCACTTCTAAAATGACAAGTCATTTTCCCAGGAGTTGATGGCTCCTTGAAGTGCCTCCTGCAGTTGGTCAAGCTCAGAAGAGTATCTCAGTGAGCAGGATACTCGGCCTCTAATAACAGAACGCTTTTCTTCTAATTCTAGTGAAGACAGAGTAATTGAGCACTACAAGAAGCTGAATGGCCAGACGAGAGGTCAAGCAATCGTGAAGTAAGTGGCCCTTACCAGCACTCACGGAGATTGTGTTTGTGTGTGTTAATATATCACATGTCAAGATTGTTCACTTCTGCTCAGAAAGACGTTATCTCTGGGGGACAATGTTTCAGTTGAATTGTCAAGTAAATAATCACTCCCAGAACTTTATCACACATGCCAAAGAAGTATGTATATTGTACCAGTTCTGCCGAATAACCACCCTTGTGTGCGTGTTTGTGTGTGTGTGTTTGTGTGTGTTGTCTTCCCAGCTACATGAGCATCGTGGAGTCTCTCCCAACCTACGGGGTTCACTATTATGCAGTGAAGGTAAGTGAACTTATTTAGTGAAGATTGCCCATCCTGCCGAAAAATAAAAAGCAAACAACAACAAAACATTCTTTTTCTTTTTAAAAATCTTCCTGGAGACTCTTAGAGGGCTAGGAGTTGGTAAGGGAAGACTTGCCCAGAAAGACCAGATGCCACAGGAAATTGGCATGAATTTTACCCCTAGGATAGTAAGACTTGATATGGTTTCTCTCAAAAACTCATTTTCCCTTTTGGAAGCAGTATAATAAGTCTCTAGTTCCTTTTGGTCTCAGAGGAATCCCAAGAGACCAGGATTTGGGTATCTTAGTGGGAAAACTCTATCCAATACAAGGAACTGTAGGGAACAGAAACTTTCAGCAGAATCTTGTGTTTTTTTTTTTTTTTTTTTTTGGTGGTCAAGTGCTACATAGTTAGCTTTCTAAGAGGTAGACTGGGATTATAGGCTGACAAATGGAGTATGTGACCCTTTAAGAAAATAAGATCTGTTTTCTTGAATATTCTAATGGCAAGTCCAATAGGTATTGACTCCATTCTAAATTCTTTTTAATTTTAATTTCCATCAATGTGCCAGAGTAGGATCTCTTCTTTGAAATAATAAAGATGTCCCTCATGAGACCACAAAGAAGAAAAAGTTCCCTCCTCCTACTCTTTTCATTTACTCCTACCTAAAATGTTTAGCTGACTCATTGCCCAAAGTTCAGCTGAAAAGAGAAGAAAACACTTCTAATCTACAGACAGTCCCACCAGCCAATGAGAGCTCCTCTTGCTGTTTTACCAGTGTCTTTCCTAGTGTTTCTATCCTACAATATTTTTAATTTCTTTAGACTACACCATGTGCCATATTTCATTCATTATGTGTTACCTTTAGCAACTCACATAACACTTTGTAAGTCATTGGTATGCACAGAATCGCCCATATCTTCTCCTAAACTGCAGATAATTGATGGTAAAGACTGTATTATATTCTGTTATACATTCCCAGAACCAAGCACAGCACCTGGCCCATGATAGATGCTCAGCAAATATTTACTGAGGAAACATATTGAGAATTGAGTTGGTGGTTGGATGTCTGCAATTCCATAATGGGAACAAGTGTTAGAACTACCATTGTGGAGCATAGAACTATGAGGTGCCTGTGGGGACCTCGTTCCCATCCAACAGTTTCTCTCAGGATCTCTTAAAGCCTGAAGTAGTTAAATTCTTCCTGATGTCCTACCAAGATTCTACCTACCAATGGGAGTGCTTAGCCCCTCTTCATTATCCTTCCAGAGCTCATGTGACTGGTAAGCACATCCAGCCCTGCCTTTCTCAAGTCATGGGTGATCAGTTCCCCACAAGGAAATTCAAGGGTTTGTGAAAAGAGGCTTCAGTGGTGCTGATGTTGACCACGCTAGTGAGCGCTGCGGAGTCCACTTCCATTTTACCATCTTGTTACCATAGAGGAGACACATGAATTCAATAGTTCCCCACATGATGATCAGAGGCATTTCATAGGAGTTGATCCATGAGGGTTTCTCAGCTGTAGGAATATTCCATGTTGATTTACAGCAGTGGCATCTGCATTCCAGAACAGGAACCAGGAATTTAGGAATTCCTGTGTCGTGTGTTCCCTGGCTTGCTGTCTGTTCTAAGTTTGAGCTCAGTTCTGTCTCCTATCATTAAAAGAAGTTAAGACACTTACCACGTCAATTACCCCCATAAAAGTCTTCCAAATATTGGAAGACTGAGATTCAGGGAGGTTCATTGAGTCTTCCGACTGGTTTCCATCTGGAGTTCATTTTTGTTGGTTCTAGAACCTAACAAAAAGGCTGCCTCTGATATATAAGCTTTCTACCTTCCATAAAACTTGAGATTTGTGCTCTTTTTTCAGACTAGAAGCAGGGCACTCGATTTTCAAAGTGTTAAAAGAGTACAGGTGTTTGGCTTCTGAAATCTCAGAGCATAAGCAGATTGCTCTGTGGTTTATCAGGGCAGCACCTCTGCCCAAGCAGATGTAATGCATGCTCCCTGTTTGGTGGCCATGTGATCTCCCTGATGCCTGATTATGGTATAATGATAACACTTATGTGAGGTGGCAGGGGGCATTCGGTTTCTTCTTGTTCTATTTTTTGAAACTATGGTTGTGCACAAGTATTTCCAGAGGGGTGGGTTTAAGTCAAGCATCTTATTCTACCTTTAAATTTTTTAGCTAGGGGTGTAGCTCGATGGTAGGGCATGTGCCTAGCATGTATGAGGCCCTGGGTCCCATCCCCAGCATGGAAAAAGGGAAAAAATAAAAATTAAAAAAAAAACCTACATACCTCTGAAGCTTTAAATAAAATTTCAACATTTCTTGTTCCTTTTATCTTTATGTTTAGACTTGAAGTACCTCATGCCCCACAAGTACTGGAAAGCCATCATTCTGATTTTAAGTTTTCAAGACACAGTGGAAGTGTGCTAGGTTTTTCCAGAGATGTGACAAATAGGATAAATCTTGGGGGAGAGCTCCTGGCATGCCCACCATAAGACACTAGCATTTGGGAACATTCCATAGCAACTCAGAATCATCCCTATTTGAATATAAAATTGCAATGGCCACCGAGGTGACAAGAGCTCTCTTTAAAATGAAATAAACAGACTTGATGTTTCTGATTTAGTTATTTACCTTGAGAATGTTTCAGCTTCAGTTTTGCTACCTTGTCCAACAGTGCCAGTCCTAAGACCCTCTCTGGCACCCAGCTGTCCTCATAGGGGAGCAGGACATTAGAGGTGACACTTTCTGGCCTGTGCTGCTGTTGGCTGGCTGGGGCTGGGGAGGGTCCTGAGTAAAACTGAGCCAACTCCCTATTTTGATTTTTTTTTTTTTTTTGGACTGGGGATTAAACTCAGGGGCACTTGACCCCTGAGCCATATCCCCAGCCCTATTTTGTATTTTATTTAGAGACAGGGTCTCACTGAGTTGCTTAGCGCTTCACTTTTTCTGAGGCTGGCTTCAAACTCAGGATCCTCCTGCCTCAGCCTCCTGAGCCGCTGGGATTACAGGCATGCGCCACTGTCCCCAGCTGCTTTGATTTCTTAATCCTTAAAAAAGAGAGGAGTCCCTTTCATAGTCTCTAGCTGATGGTCGATAACAGTTTCTCTGCTTCAGAAGATTGTTCACTTTACTGGAATGTTCCACATCTCTCAGGTTTTTTTCCTGTTTGGTGAATGAGGGGCCCTTCTACAGTCTTAGAAGGAAAAAAAAAAAAAAGAACAGAGCATTTGCTCCTTAAAGATAAGGGGAGAGATGTTGGTAGAGATGTACTGCAGGTTAGAAACAGAGCCAATTCCCCAGCCCAGGGCTCCCATCACCTTGTTTGTAAAACTGAGCATCTTGCTATGAGGGACACATCTGTTAACTTCCAAGGAAATTGCCTTTTACCTTGTTTTCAGCTGAGCTGGGAGAATCTCCTCTTGATCTGTGTATCTTTTGCAGCCCATATTTACCTGTACTCTTTGATGTCCTAGGACAAGCAGGGGATACCATGGTGGCTGGGACTAAGCTACAAAGGAATCTTCCAGTATGACTACCATGATAAAGTGAAGCCAAGGAAGGTAAGGGTGGTCTTCTTTGTTGGCTTAAAGGCTCTCATTTTGAGAGAGAAACCAGGGTAAAAGTGAGTTAAAATGCTAACAACGTGTGGCCCACAGGCTTGCCAATCCCTTGCTAATTTAAGTGTATACAAATTACTCCACAATAATCCTGAGTTCCCTGGGTAAATATTTTTTTCTCCCTGTCTCTAAGGAAACCTAAGCTGTTATAATTATTTAAGGTAAGATGCCTGGCTCAGTTCTCCCAGAGCAGATGGGAGACTGTTGTGTTCCTTACTTTCTTGGGGCTATATACTCTGAATAAACAAAAGGCCATCTATTTTAAATCCTGAGGCCAATCTGAGTTCTCTCAAAGATTTTTAGGTCAAGGTAGAGGAAAGTGGACGTACTAAAAACCCCCGCTGGTCTCAGGTAAGGAAGAGGTGAATAAAGAGATGAGCCAGAGGAGGTCCTGAGAATCCAGAGGATCTCCTGGGGCTTAGAAGAAGTGGTCAGAAAATAAGGTTATTTGCCAAAAGAGAAAGAAAGGGAAACAGAGAAAGGTCTGCAAAGTCCTTAGAAACACAAGGCAGAGCCCTGCGAGGGGCACCATATTTGAATTGTCTGTTTTCATTTACACACATTTTTTAGACCAGAACAAATTGAAAAATTATAATGGAAAAATATCTTTGAGGCAAGTGCTGTCATTCAGAATCTCTAGCAGAGAATGATAGGGAGATGGTATTTAGTTCTAACCCTGAAATACATTATTAAAAATCTATCAAAACCACACTTGCTCTGAAAGACAGAAAAAGAGAGAGAACACAAGAGCAGGATTGGTCCATTATGTCATTGTGGTTTGAATGACAATCCACAAATAGGATTGAAACCCACACTACACCTCTGAGCTTATCATACCCGAGCCAGGTTAACGATGTCTGTCCTTACCAACTTTGTTAAATTAATAGGGAAAATGGTCCTGGGTTGGGGAGGATTTTTACTCAATTGATCAGTAATTCCTGAAGTTCTAAGTAAGATTCTGAGAAGGGAAGGAGGAATTATTCAGGGGGATATGTTGTTTTGTGGCTACCTCTAAAGCCTCTGCTTCCATCTATTTGTGCAAAACAGACTATACCCTTTGTTCCTATGTTTTTCCTCTTTTTTTTTTTTTTACATTCACAGGATCTGTATTTCTGTTTCTCTGTGCTTGTTACACCGTGGCCTTTATAATTTTATGTGCTTTTTCTTGTCGAATTTCCTCTTTGCTTCTTCCTCCCTCTCCAATTTGCCTGACTGATTTTCTGCTTGCAAAACTAAGAACACTCTCAGGGCCTTAACGAAGAAGTCCTGCTTGCATAGCGTATGCACCTTTCTTCTGCCCACATTGGAAGACCAAAGCCAATATGGATAATTGGGATCCACAACAGATTTTCATTAAAACCTAGCGGTTGGAGTCTCTCCCTCAAAGCTTTTGAAAGACATACTAACAAGTATTCAGACTTGTTCCATTCAATGTATGAATATATTTAAATGCTCTTTATTTTTCTAATTATGGGGAGAGGGGTTACCAGGGATTGAACTAATGGGCCATTTGACCCCTGAGCCACATCCCCAGCCCTAGTTTGTATTTTATTTAGAGACAAGGTCTCACTGAGTTGCTTAGCGTCTCACTAAATTGCTGAGGCTGGCTTTGAACTTGCCATCTTCCTACCTCAACCTCCCAAGCTGCTGGGATTACAGGCATGTGTCACCACCTGTTTTTCTAATTATGTTTCTAGTGAAGATTGAAAATGTAGTGAAAGAGCACTTGATACATGTCAAACACAAGGTGGAACACATAGCAAAGGTTCGATAAATCCTAACTATTAGTGTAAGAGTGGAAAACAGATTTTGAGTTAGGAGGCCAAAGGTATAAATAATCAGCCACTGAATAAGAGAATTTACAGTAACTTAAGACGCTTTCTCAGGCCAATGATTTAAAAATATTAAAAGGTCAACGTATTTTTTCCAGGGCGTTGGCTCCAACTCAGACTGAATTGTTATTTGACATAACTTATGTTTCTGTGGCCTTTGAGGAAGAAATTGGAAATTTCAAGCCTATTACTAGTTGAAGGAAAACTGAGCTATGGAGCTTTCAGAACCATTCATTCATTCAAGAATGGTCTGCATACCTACCTCTTGCATGCCAAGCACAGAACCAGAAAAGACACAAATCCAGTCTTCCAGTCCTGCCCAGTGTATCAAGGAGAGAGCCATGTGATAATTGAGCCAGTGACTGTTAGTCTGTTTGCTGTTACTAGTAACACAATACCAGGGACTGGATAACTTTACAAAGAAAAGAGGTTTATTTTGGCTCATAGTTCTGGAGGTCCAAGGTCAAGAGCTACATGCAGTGAAGCCCTTCTTATTAGCAGCGTCCCTGGGCAGCACGAGGCATCCTCACATGGCAAGAGATAAGGAATGTGTGTGCATATGCATATGCATGCATGAGTGTGTGTGTGTGTGTGTGTGTGTGTGTGTGTGTGTGTGTGTTCTGGTATCTCTCTCTTCTTATAAAGCTACCAGAATGCAATCATGGGGACTTCACCTTGAAAATGTTATGTGATCCTAGCCATTTCCCAAATGTGACCTCTAAACACCATAGTCATAAGTTTCTGCCCTCTTAATACCTCACAGTGGGGTGAGGTATTTCAACATATGAATCCTTGAAGGACCTTCTTCATAACATAGCAATGTCTTGGTGCCATATAAAAGCCTGTGTGAGGTGGGTGGTAAATCAAGAGAGTATCCACTTGGGTGTAAGGAGAGAGAATAGTCTTCACAGAAGAAGCAAAGGTGAGCTGGATCTTAAAGGGCTGTGAGTGTTTTGCAGATGGAAAATAGGACTGGGGAGGAGGTGTGAGAGAGTGGCCAGTATGTAGGGACACTCGGTGGGGGGCAGCAGGGTACAAGGGAATCCAGAGCACACTCAGAGCTAGAACACAGGCTGAGGAAAAAGCTGGAGGGGAGGCTGAGAGCCTGCAGTGGCCAGTTCTGGAGGCCTCAAAGGTTTTGCTAAGACAACTTCACCCTCTCTCAGCAGCAGGAGCCACAGAATAGTATGTGGAGCCGAGGAGAATACCATATCAGATTTTCATTGATATAGAAGTGCCCATCTGCTGTGTGGAGGATGGCTTGGAGGAACACAGGACTTGGAAGGCAGGACTACTTTGAAGTTGGGGACTAGGGTTGACTCTCAATAATAGGGATCGAGGAGGAAAGATTCAAAGGGGATTCTAGAAGGCAGATGTTATGGTTAACTCTGGAGGGAGAGATGGCAGTAAGAGAAGAGGGCAACCTACAGGGACTGTTAGGCTTCTTAGTCAGCCAAGGCATGGGACCTTGAGGGAGGGAGACCTGGGAGTGGTGGATGGATGCAGCTAGAATATGCACAGTTTGAGGCTTAACAGGCAGGCCATCAGGGTCAGGTATTCACTTGGCGCTCAGGAGACTCAAGAATTTCCAAAGCATTGTTGAACCAGAGACTGAACAGGGAGAGGAAAAGTAGGAGCAGTCATTCCCACCCCTGAAAATTCACCATTGACTGTGCATTAAAGATTTTATCCCCTTGTCATGATGAACCCTGGGAGACAGAGAGGCAGATCTCGACTGTGTGGGTCCTGAAGCTTGCACATTAGCAGGGGGCCCTTTTTGAGAAACAAATCTGTAATCAAGTTAAGATCAGGGCTTTGAAAGGCCCTTAAAAGGAAGTCCCAGCTTCATTAGTTTCAAGGAGTACCCACCTCTGCTAATGCATGGATGCCACTTAAAACCAAAGACTCAACCAGAGCCATAGTTATGAAATAGCAGCTGCAAGAAGAGCTGGGCACCATATCTTTTTCTTCTTCTCACACCCAACATCATCACCATCATTAAAAGACCATAGCTGTTATATAGGGCGCATGAGAGGCTCTGAACCCATAGGGCATGAAGCCTGGTTCCAGAACTGGACTCTAAGTAGAGGCACATAGTGAGGAATAGCAATGCACTTTCTCCCAGGAAGCACCACACTCTATCTGGTGCCTCCAGATTGTGGTTATGTCAGCAGTTCATGGGAGACTGCTCTAGTGTCTGGTTGCCTCCTCCAGTCTTGTCCACTCACCTCTGACCCTACAGCAGAGAAGATAGAAAGCCTCCCAGTGATTCTGGTGTGCAGCTGGAGATGGGGACCATCACTCAAGGCCACCCATGCTTCCTTTGCACGCTTAGACTTGGGAAAAGTCAGCTAAGCTCAGAAGGTGTGGCTCCAGTGTCCTGCACACTGAGAGCTGGCAAGTTCCCAAGCATAGATTTGAGGCTTAGTAAGCTACTTGTGAGGGACGCTTAATGAGTTGCATGTGAAGGATGCCCTCCAGGTGGCACCACTCCCTCCTGGCACAGGGGCCAGGCCACCTCCAGCCTTCGGGGATGCTCGGGAATCGGTAGCACCCAGTTTTGAGCACCTGGAGAGAAGTCTGTGGTAACAGCTGCATCTGTAACCCAGGAAGCTGCTCTCGCCCAGGGGCAGATAGACCTTTGCTGATACTCTGACCCAGTTATAGCGGCTCTGTCACATGGCACTACAATACTAAGAGCCAACATTCAAGTAGAGGCAGTGTCAGAGCTGAGCCTGCTGCTTCCCTTTGAAGGTCCTGAAGGCATCCTCTGATGTGCACAGGAAACCATTAGCACAGCCAGAGGAGTTCAGCAGCTGCCTGTGAGAATCTGCTCCTGCATTTCCAAATGGGTCCCTAAGAAATGCCCCCAAAAACCACTGAGGAGGGGTAGCTGATGGCTGTCCAGAAACGGGCAGGGCTGCTGTAGTCTGGTCCTAGTTGTCTGACTGAAATGCAGTTTGATATTCTAGCTCCAGAGTCTACCTTATGTCACTGAATCTTCATTATGAAGTTTAGTGGCTTTGGCTTTGGTACAGAAGAACCTCACAGGTGGAATAGAGGAGAGAGAGAGAGCATGCTGCTCCCTCCTGATTGTGCCCTATTATCTGC